TATTTTTTAATATACCTCATCAAGTAAAAAAATATAAAATTTACATAAATTCATATTACTTTGTGCTTAATTTTTATTAAATATATAAAAATAATGGGATTTGAATTTGTAACCATTTGGTAATCAAAACTCTAATACTATATAAAAGAACTATTTCATCGTAATAATTTAAATTATTAAATAAAATTAAAAAATATAATTTATATTATTTTATAACATTAAATTTTTATAGTTTGACATATTTTTTTATAATTTTTATTTGAAATGTCTTTTTATATAACCAAACCAACCACAAACACACTAGGTATTTTTTTATTAAAAAATTATTTTATTAATACATGAAAAGAAAAGGAAAGATACATTTCAAATTTCATAACCCATGGATAATAAAAATGAAAGTTAGAGCTAAATTAAAAGGAAAAAACCTCAAAATTATAATAATATATAATATTTGAAGTTGTCAAATTTTATATAATTCTAAATTAACTTTTATATTTTGAAAAATCAGTCTAATTATAATGATTATTCCTATAATGATTATTTTTTAATAATTTATCTTTATTTTATTTACCATGTCCCTCTGAGCAAAAAATGATATTGAAGTCCAGTAAAAAAAAAACATTTTGTGAGCTATAAAAAAATACCAGTCATTAAAAAAAAAAAAAAAAGATGCTGACACCGAATTTTGCACCGCCACGTTACGGCATTTCAGATAGCAGAAGAAAATGCCCGCTCCCAACAAATTTCCGGTCCGCAACGCTTGCGGTGGTATCCAACGTAATTTTTACTACCATGTATATGCAATGATACGCTGAAATGTTGGAGATCAAGAGCTTGGTGTGTGTGTGTGTGTAAAATCCTTATTTTAGACTCAAATCTAAATATAATCATTCTAATGGCATCCCAATTCTATAAATTTATTGATTTGAATAAAAATTTATAGTAAAATTAAGGAACATTTATAATTTTTGTCTAAAAGAATAATTTATATATTGAAACGATATCAATTTGAAATAAAAATGATGAGAGTTTTTTTTTTTTATGAACATTAATAAAAGGACTTGACTGAGAATTTGTTTTCAAATGTTCGGGATCAAATTGATAAAATTAATAACTCTGGGACTCCATAGATAATGAGTATATAGATTAGGAACCAAATAGACTAGAGGTCTTTTTTATTGAGAGAAATTGAAGTGACGTCTCCTAGGAGTGCATGGTTTCAGCGTTGCTTGTAAAAGCTCCTCACCTCCACTTTACATTATCTTGTCCCGTTAACAAATCAAATACTGCTACGTGTTCTTCTTCCTTCCTATTCGTTTACTCGCTCAAGATGCCTCGCCATAAATCTACCACTCCCTCGCCTAAATATTTCTCCTGCCGTTCTCCTTCCTTCTCAACGAAAAAATTGAAGGATAGCTTTTTCTTTGTTTCAATCCTTCACTTTGTTGATAAATTAAGCTTCTTTTCATAGAAACAAATCTTAAATTGAAAATGGGAAATGCCTTGAGGTTCCTCTATGGGCATTGCTGCAAACCAACAACGGCCGGGGACTCTGATTCATTGGGACCCCACGGCGTGTCAGCCGCAACAGTCGGTGTTTCAGCTCTTGCCCGTGATTTGTTTCACTTTGAAATCACCTCCCAGGTATTCTTTCTTGCTCTGAATTTAAATTTTTCTCATTTTTCGGCTGTTTCTGGCAATGTTTGACTCTGCTTGAGGTACAATTAAATTCTTGAACTTTTTTCTTTTTTTTTTATCATGTTATGGTCTAGCATAATTTCATGATCTTCAGAGTTGAGTGTCTTCTGTTTTTTTTTTTTCCTTAAGGTTCCAGAAGGACTTGATAAGCATGTGGTCTCGTCGAAGAAGGCTCAAGCTAATTGGTAATAATTATAAAGCAATCTTTAATTCTCTGTAAAGTTACAAGCATGTAGTGATATATAGTTTATCTGAATTTTGGACTTTAAAAGGTATAGAAAGTTGCTGGAGGCGTGGAAAGAAGCAAAACCCCCACCAGAAACACCCGAAGAAGTTGCTAGGCTTGTTATCCAGACCTTGAAGAGACATCAAAAGGCAGATGTTGAGGTACTAATTGAAAACCAATTTCAGCATTAGACTTGTTGGAGTGCAGAATGCTTACTACATCGGGGTAGGTTTAATGCAAAATGATCGTTCCTGTTTTTCCTTACAGGGTTTATTGGCTTTCTACGGTCTTCAACTTCCGCATACTCTTGCTCAAGTTTCTGCTGGGGGACCCACATCATTGCCTCAAGGGGTCAAGTTCGAGATGCAAACTTTACCAGTTAATTACTGCAATAACCCTTGATCAAACTTTAAATTTATTTACAATCTAGTTAGTTTGAGTTGGTTTGATGTGATAAAACCATTTGAATTAATCAACCCAGGTGGATCCACAAGCTGTAGCTGATGGAGATACTATAACAGTTTATGTTAGCACGACCGACACCAGGGAGTCATCTTCTGTTCCAGGGGAAGTTCATATGGCAGCTGTTCAAAGATCAAAAGCTCGTGCGGAGAGGAACTATGGGAAGGCAGATGCACTTCAAAAAAAAATTGTTGAAGCAGGATATCGGTTGGTTATCTGATTTGCCCAGTATAAATTTTGTCAAATTAATCCTCGGCGTGACAAATTCGTTTCAAATAATTCGTTTGCGTGCGCAGAGTAATAAATGTTCAAAACGAAGAGATTCTTGCTCGAAAGTATCGCATTCGATTAAGGTGACATCTGCTCCTTGTAGGATTTGGTCCCTAATTAGGCTTATTTATTGCAGAGGTTAATGACTCTCGACTGGAAAAAATGCAGGGGCATAGATGCACCTGAGAGTTCAATGCCATATGGGAAAGAGGCGAAAGAGGAGCTAGCTAATCTTGTTCAGGGCAAGTGTTTGAGAGTCTTTGTCTATGGAGAAGATCGTTATCGCCGCTGTGTAGGTGATATATATTGCAATGGAATGTTTGTACAGGTAGCGCCCCCATTTTCTAGAATTGATCTTTATATGATTTATTAGTAGCGTACGAATTTTCTAAAATCCGTATATCAGGAAGTAATGCTCAAGAAGGGTCTTGCATGGCATTATACTGCATATGATAAACGCTGGGAACTAGAAACAGTAAGTAACCATTGTTCTTTGCAAACTCCCGCACTATAAACTTCTTCGCAGTCTTAATTATTGTATGTATCTTATTAGTGGGAAAAGGAGGCTCGAGCAAAGCGTGTAGGGTTATGGGCTTCATCAAACCCTGAGATGCCATGGGAATGGAGAAAGGACAGACGTGAAGGCAGATAGCAATGTCCCAATTAACCCGTCCAGACAAGTGACCTTTTGTTTTTGCCTGAATCGACCACGTTAAGCAGGCATAACCCAAACCGGGATATATTAACCAATAAGATGCACCCTGTATCATATCAAAAGGTGTCTGGAAATTATGCCCAAATTTACACTTAATACCAAAGTTTTTGTAATTTAGTGTTGGATTGAAAATGCCATTGAAGCCAGTAAACTTGAGGCTAAAAGCAGGGAAATATCGTGCGTGCTAAGCTATAATCTCCGCACCTAGATGCTAAAACCATGAATGTTTGATAATCATTGCATATGGGTAAAAGAAAAATATCAGTGGAAGATTTTATAAATGCAATATTCCTGTCTTTGTCCACACCCCAGGGACCATGTACCCCATGCCAAGGATTTACCAGATAACAAAAAGTGCAAAACTTTTTCCGCATAAATACATAATCGAAGATGTTTCCAACCGAGACCTTTTAGAGCATCCTCTTCATTTGCTCGTGGTTTGCCTATTTATTTTAACATTTTAAAAATAATTTTTTTATTAATTTCAAATTCATATATTTTTAATATTTTTAATTTATTTTGATATGTCGATATCAAAAATAATTTTAAAAAAATAAAAAAATTATTAATATATATTTTAACACAAAAAATTATTTGAAAAACAACCGCAATGATAACAGCAATCAATCATACTGCCAAACAAGCTTCGATTAAATTATATTATAAAGAAACATAAAAAGCTAAAGAGCATGGGATTGGGATTTTACTGTAGTTATATACATATATTATTATGAATTACAATATTAAAATTACATAAATATGTAATTTAGAGGAGCATGGAGGGGCATTGTAGTAATGTCATGTTGTATTTTTTATTTTTTAATAGAACAATCGCTAGTGTGTGCAAGAGGCCTTCAAGCAGGCAAATTTGATCATCCACCGTCTCATGAGATGCACAATCATGCCTTCTTCTATATGATATGATGCATGTACATATATTATGATTAAATAGTCAACAATAATTTATTGTTTGTGTTTTTTTTTTTTCCTCTTTCCTAATAATTTAAGTACATAATTGTTATTTTTTTGTTTGTTATTTACTTGAGCTTGACATAGCTTCCACACCCAAGTCACTTGGGTTGGCATGACTCCCGGACCTTACTCTTTTATCCTTTAGCGACTTAAATTTAAATCTTCAATTTAGGAGCATTTGGATCTTTTCATCAGGCTCATTGGTCATTACAAGATTGTTTGGGAGTGTCAATATCTTTTTTAAATTTTAACACAATTAAAATACTCTTTTACCCTTAAAGTCAAAAAACATTATAACTATTAACCAAGGGCTTTCTTGATTTTTGACAATATTCATAACAGTAAAAATACTTTTTTGCTCTTAAGATAAGAAAATGACAAGCCGTTAGAAAACGATATTTCATGTTTTTTCAATTTTCATGTGCAACACAATAATGTTTTTAGCCTTAAAAAAAAAAAAATAGCTTGCATTTGATGTTTTTACCAAATTCAAGTGTCTTAAATCTAGCACCCACGCTTCTTAGGTTTGGCATCTATGTTTCCTGTCAAACCCATAACTCTTAGATTTAACCAACACTCTAAAAACATTCTCTAAACTTCTAATATTTTTTTTTTATATTCTTTCTAAAAATTGATATTAATCCGTTGCAAAACACCGGCAAATATACTAAATATTTCTAAAACTAGTCTAGAAATTAACGTATCATAGCCCAGATTTTCAAATGCAAAAACACCATTGCAACTGAGAAAACATACCTAGAGTTCGGTGATACAAAACAAAAGACTGAATCAAAAGACGCAAAAGATTTCATCAGCATCTGGACCTCCAAAGAGAAAATGCAGCCGAATAAGAAACTGCAAAAAACGATAAACGCAATTTAGTATGGAAGCTCTATTGCTAAAATCCATTCATGAAATGCAAACTACCATTAATTGTTTATATCTTTTCAGTTACCAATTTGCTTCTCCTGGCGGACCATCAGCCTGAACAGCTAGCCATTCCTACCTAACAATATTTCATTTGTTTATCCTTCCAGATCTTTCCACCTTAAAGCATTGCACAGCTCAATCCCTCCCAAACATATTTCATGGCTTACTGATAAAATTCTCACAAAAACTAGAGTTCAATGTACAGCCCAAACTAGCCATTTCAGCAGTTGAGTAAAGGGCTCTCAACTGGCTGTCACTTTAAGTTTTACAACGGCATGCTCAGCAATTATATTTCTCTCTTGCTAATATTAAAGGGTGATTAAAGCTTCTCTCAACCATTCTTCTAGGAAACACCATTGACAAACTGTTGATAACAAGATGAAATTCACAATCACCACAAACTAGTGAAGGATAGACGGGCCAATTCAGCATGATGTAAAAAGACAGACAGAAACTTTATCCAAGGACAATGCCAAGGGCTGTAACAGGATGGTTTTTGATCAAGAAGATGCAAAAACATTGAGATGATTAATGTTGGTGCAATTCAAAAGGAGTTATGTCAGCTAATCACAGCCACGTTCATCAAGTCAGTAAAGAATAGATTGATAGGGACCTGAATATGCATTCATGTATCTAAGATACATCAAATGTCAACAAAATTTACTTATCCTCATGAATGAGCAAAGATTCAACAGTCAGAAATTCCTCACTTTTCCTCGATCTACCCAGCATCATCTCTATTTGTCTTTATTTGCCAGTAGAAAATAATATCAGATATGAAACAATGGCGTAAAGGAGTAAAATAGGTCAAAACGAATACCGGAAAGCTGTTTCACAGTTCAGCTTAAGATTAAGAACTTGGGAAAATGAAGCAAACATTATAGAGATAGATCATCATAGCAGGGGCAGGGGGGAACCCTAAGTTTCAGTTGGCATCTTGAAGTATTCATAGAAAGAAAAGTTTTTTAATATAGTATCCAATGCGTGGAAGGAGGATTAGGAAACGTGATAGAGTAGAAGCTGTTCTGTCTTGTTTCCTGGCACTGGTTTTAAGGGCAATGTACCAGTCAAGTAGATATCCTAATTCCTCAAGGCAACTACATAGCAGTTGATATTCACTCCTAAAACCACGTAATCCTAAGCACTATGGCGTTACTTCAGGAACTTTTCTAATAATTTGTGGTTTTCAAAGCAACAAGAGAATAAACACAGTGCTTCTCACGCTTTCCCAGGAATGAACAAAACAGCTGCATGGCAAGAGCTTCCACTGAAGCTGAACATGACCCATCATTATTTAGCATGCCATAAAATTTAGAACTTGTTATTATGCATCCAGTAATGGTTAATTTTCTTAAGCGAACCGGTACCAAGGATGAGTTTCTACCACTGCATGGAGGGAAAATGGAAATAGAATCAATAAAAAACAAGAACTTGGTAAATCAGCAGCAACAATTGTAGAAATTCACCAGGTGTTCTCATTTGTGATTTTGCCAGGACTAAAAAAGTTTGATCTCATTTCCTGTCATCCTCTGAATCTGAGTCACTTCCATTATAACCTAAAGAAGTCCAAATAAAAGTCGAGTAAGACAAACGGAGCCATTCCCTAGAATACCACTGAGAAGAGAGAGAGCATGTACCTGGACGTTTATTGCTTACTTTCCATACTGAAGCTCGACGCTTTGAAGCTCTACTAATCCAAGCACTTCCCTAAAACACGATTTTATATAGACCATTTAGAATGGCAAAATCACAACCAAAAGATTAAGAGAGGAAATACAAAACTGATGACTGAGACGATTGGGCAGATAAATTAATAAATGGAAGGCTCAGAATCGCTGGTGGGAATGTAGGATTAGCAATGAAATGAAAAGCCCTTATCCTATACATGCTTTGAGACTGTCACACTGAAAATACATCACTAAACACTCTCTTTCGTGTTGAATAGGAGACCAAGAAAACTTTGGTATTGTGTAACAGTTAGAAACGAATGATTCTAAGAAGATGTTTTCCAACTCTAAACTCAAAAATCTTCCACGAAGGAGATTAATCTAAATTGAGAAAATCTAGCATAGTTCACAGTTTTGATTGCCAATTTAAAACGCAAATTTCTGATATCCCTCAGGCTTTCAGTGACCTCCCAAAAATCAAAATTGTATTTACCATCCCCCAATCGGACTGCTAACTGCAAAGAGAAGAATCTATAAACAACAGCAATAGGGACTATAAAATATTAAAGCTCTAACTTCTGTTCATATTCCTAATTTCCTCGGCAAACAAACGAACATAGAAGCCTCGGAATGCTGTGTAATCTGCACAACCCAATTGTTATATACACAAACAAACGTGAAATGGAAAAGAAATACCAGCAACCTGATCCGAATTGTGTTTTCCCTTGTTTAAAACCAAAGGCAGCATAACACTCAAAATCCAATATTTTCTCATTTACAACTCACAAAAACCTCGAAATGGCAAATCAATGGCTGTGTCCTACAACCCCAGAACACAATACAACACTTGTAACAATAAAATTAAAGTAAACAAGGAAAACCCAGAAACGAAAACAACATAAAGAACCAAAAAATAAGCACTCAAAGAAAAAAACAGATTAAACCTTTTCAACATCTTTAGGGACACCATAGCCATTAAAATACATCTGACCCACAAGAACTTGCATGGAAATGTCACCAGTCTTTGCTTCCTTTAGTGTATCTTCAAACCATCTTTTAGCACAATCAGAGACAACCTGACCTAATGGCACCAGTTTTTGGCCATCCAAAATAAGAGAACTTTCTTCCATCTTTTTCACCTTCAATCGCTCCGAGTCAACCCGGATCTCACTCGGCCGCGATGGAACAACGGGTACGATGCTTTTTTTGTGTCTTGGTTTGTGTGAAGAGACTATTTTGGATAGTTCCAGGAGTTTGCCCGTGGAAGGAAGTGACTTTCCCATACAAGAGAAAAAGATGGAACAGTTTTTTTTTTTTTTTTGTTGGATTTCTTCTTAGTTTTATTGGGGTTTTGGTTTCTTTTATTTCAGGGGCCCTTACTTTCTTTTTCCCCCCCTTCTTATCTGCTTTTTAAGCAGCTTCCTTATCTGACATTCACGGTAATGAATAATGGAGATGATTTCATAGGGGGGGTTCCTTAGACCTTTGTCCCGCGAGCTTCTGTTTTTTGTCTCTTTTCTCGTTTGACGGCCTAACCCCCATTTGCCCTAATAAACTGTTATCTCATTGAAATATGGCAAATCCTATTTAGCAATCCCCTATCTTCGAAATTAAACTTGATAGACGAAATTAACATGAGAGTGTAGTTGAGGGGGGTGGATATTTTATCTTGGATTAGCCTTTCAATTTAGTCCTCAAGTGATTGGAATTTGAGGGGATCGAGGGAGAAGAAGCAGGGGATATAGCTCCAAACACTTCGGGAAATTTTCTTGCATATAGCAAACACAAATGAAATTTGGAGGAGGTGTTCAAGGTTTGTCAATTCTCCCAGCCCCTAAAATCTAAATCCCCTTCATAATAAGGCCTAAGATAGGGTACTAGGGAGCAGAAGAAATGTGGTTTATAGTTCTTAGCTTTTTTTTCCTTCCCGTATTAACTTTCCAATCACTTCAATTCCAAGGGATAAGCTTAATGGTTGAAAGAATTTATTGAATTCCTTGATTTATTAAGTTCAAAGACACATTATATAAATGTGGAGATGTATTTTTAATATCATTTAAAGGTTTTGAATTGTTGAACCAAAAAAAATATATGTATAAAATAAAACCTTTGCAACCTCTTCTATGATCTCCCCTAGTTTATCTCTCTTGTCCATTGACGGGATTGGTCTTCTAATTTTATGCTCTATACAAGAAAACGAGGTCGGTTCAACTCAATTTCGATCCCAAACAGATATTTATTAATCAATCACGTGATCTTTCCATGATCTTGCAGCATGCAGAGTACAGATTGCGGATTCTATTACACGGGTGATAAAACAAGTCTCTGAATTCCTTGTTGCAAAATGCAAATATTGCAAACAGCAGAAAGATCATTTTATAGTTTGTTTTCCAGATATATACAACTAAAAAAGAAAATGCTCTCTATATTTCTATTATAAAGCCCTGCAGGCTTCCTATTCTAGTTTTTTCGATTATCAATTTATCATGACTAATAATATCTGGTAAGATTCAAGACGAGAAAAAATCAACTTACGATCTACCGTGCAAACTAGAAGTTTTTTCCATAATGATTAGGCCGTCAGGATACAGGCCACGTCCTACGAAGCCGTAACAATTTCTGACCGACTGAGAAGGAATAAAAATAAACGCCTATTAATGGCGCAGAACGCTCTCCAACGTTCATTTCGAAACTCCTGGCAACAATAATTCTCATTTGAAATGAGGATAATCCACTTACAGGCCAAAAGGATGATGTATCTAACTGTACCCTTCCTATTATAGATTGTTTACTTAAAATCTTCAATGGTTAAAGATATGATGAACATACTGCTGACAACTATAAAATAGGAAACAAAACAAACTACACCAACAGTTTTTTGGAAAAAAAATCCCAGGCACAAATTAAACTGTAAAAATTGGCGACAAATCTGATTGTCTTCTTCTGGCTAGCTGGTTTCCTGTAGGTTTTGAGGCAATTCAATGACGGTTTATGGGGTTCCTCCTGTTAGTGTGGTTGGGGAAAGCTATTGCGCCCCATACCCCCTGGAGTTGATTGTCAAGAAGAAGATTAAAAAACTATCCAACGCACAGTTTGAAGTATTTGATCTCAGTGGCAACCTCCTCCTCCAGGTAGATGGTGGTGTCTGGAACTTCCAGTTGAAAAGAGTTTTGCGTGATCCTGCTGGTTTTCCTATCCTCACGATCCGCGGAAAGGTAATTGATAATCCCCAGAAAAAAAAACATATATATTCTTCTTAATGTTTTGAGGAACACAGGAAGTAATTAATTGTTACAGTATGTATATCTATGTTGTGTTTGGTATTGCGTTTATTGAAGAACCTGACCAAGTACATATGGTTTCTTTCCTTTTTGGTTTCTTCAAGGTACTTACACTATGGCATAAATGGAAGGCTCATGCAGGTGAAAGCACGGATGACAGCAGTGTCCTTTTCACTGTAAAACAATCCCGTCCTCTCCAAATTAAAAAAGCGATCAACGTCTTCTTGACCCCCACCTCCAAGAAAAAAGAAGCTGACTTTCACATAAGCGGATCTTATACTTCTTTGTCATTCAAACTTTATGAAGGCCGTAGACTCATTGCAGAGGTACCAACGGATAACCTTTATGCTTACATAACTAATTTCTATAATAATTTACCCTGCGGATTTGAAAATGGGAACAACATCTGTTTTGCCAATGTTCAACATCGTAGAACATCGTTTCTTTCCGTTTCTTTTCCATTAAAAAAAGGGTGTGGATGGATGATTTTGGACGATAGAATGAGATTTATTAATGTAACAATATTTCACAGGTCAAACATAACTTCACGCTTGAGAGTTTCTGCAAGGGGAAGGAAAGATACAAGGTTAAAGTTTATCCAGAGGTTGATTATGCATTCGTTGTGGCGTTGCTCGTAATTCTTGACGAGAATGACACCCCTTGAGCTGGCGGTCCCTTGGCGCGGCGGTTCCTTTTCTTCCCCGCCTCTGCGATTGTCGCTGTGTGATACCTGTGCAAGTGTTAACCTTGTAATCCTGGTGTGTGTGATTTATTTCACTTTTATTGTAAGATAACACCACTCGTGTATAAACCCAGCAATTTTAATAAACCAAAGATCCCCATTACTGTTTTCAAATCAGACAAATGGAATATCCATAGACGCCAGCCACTTTCTGTGAGAGAAGGAGCACAGAGATTGAATAATTCCTTGTCGGATCATTGCTTCCTTGACCGCTGCTTGATTTTGAGCTTTCATGATTCTCTTCATCACAATCGGTTCATCTGCTATGTCTGAAGTTAAAAGCCCATTATGTCTATAGGCAGGCCTAGCGATGGCAAGATTGGCAAATAGGCATTATAAATGCACCCTCCATTTTACAAGCCCATGAGTGGACCAGAGAGGGCTATGTGGGCTGTGGCCGTCAAGCGAAGCTGGCCCCAGTAGTGACTTTTTCTATCTCACGAGTTTTTTTTTTTTTTAATAGGACATCCTTGGTTTATGTGTGTTGTTGTCTTCGAATATTAACATGTTTCGCTACTGGCTCTTTATAAGCAACCCCAAACCGTAGTTTCCTATAAATTATTACACAAACATCAATTAAATGAGTTAATAATGCAGTATTAGCATTTATTATTTTCCAACAATTATGCACTCTTGGAACTCTAGCAATCAAATTTAAATTTTAAGCAATGGTAAGTTTGACTTCAATGCTTTAATAAAATGTTATTTCAATGACAAGGTGACATGGAAATGAAAAGATGATGTGACATAACAAGTGAAATAAGATGATATTTCAATATCCTCTACCAATGTTTTAATCTTCAACCAGGCTAGTCATTTAAATACTCATTGGTCATTATTATATATGCCACCTACTCAGAACCTGGTTGGAAAAAACCAATTGATAATCAGAATGATAATCACGTCTCAAGTGACCCAATGCAAATTTAAAATTATTTTTTATATTATTAAAATTTGTTAAAGTCAAAATAATTTTTAAAAATAAAAAATTTATTTTAATATATTTTTTGTAAGGTTAAATCCTCTCTCTTATAAAATATTGTTATTATGACTCAAACCAACCTTTTTATATCTCACAATTTTGTTTATGGTAGCTCTCAGGTTTTAAAATTCGTTGTATAAGGTTAGATATCATTTACTTTATTTGCCTTTTTTTAATATAAAATATTATATTTTTAAATAAAAAAATAATTTAAAAAATAATACGCATCGTAACTATTAAACTCCATTTAACAGAACAGCTCACATCAAGCTTAAAGCCGGTCCAATCAAGATACTGTTGCTTAATTGGATAGTCCAGTTATGTTACGTGTGAAATTGAACTAATAACTAAATTTTCTCCGCCACCTGTGCACAGGATAAGTGGAAGAAAAAAGAAAACTATAGATTTGTAATGAGTTAAATAAAGGTTTTATACCCGGGAAAAAAGAAAAAGAAGGGCACTGAAAATGACAGGAACTCGGTGAGAAAAACCATGGAAGGAAAGCAACAAGACATCAACAAGTTGACGTGTAACATCTTCTCCCACCACTGAAATCGCCTAGTCTGTCCGCTCTGTTAATCTATTGTGTTCTTCAATCAATTACATCATACGTGTAACTTTCGATGTGAATTCAACGAGAAATGAAAGGAAACTTCCAAGGAGAGTGGTTAAGTTCCAATTTTCAATAGGTGCTTCAAATTATCAACATCACCTAGCCTCCGAACGGGATAGATTCCGACGTTGTTTTCAGAAAAATTAAAGTGATGGATTCTAGCATAAAGCACGAAAGCAAGAGGGCACCGCCAGCATCTCGAAGGAAAAAACTAGTTTCTGCCTGGTTTGTTCCTCCTCCTCTTTCTTTTTTCGAAAAAGGAGAAAAGGGTGTTATCGTATGCATCGACTTTTGTTTGTTTCGGTCAGCTATCAACCGATTCTATTGCTATAAAAAACCAATATTCCATCATGTTGGTCTTCTTATCGTGATATTGAATCAAAATGGGGAAAAATAACGCGTTATTTACACTAGCTGATCATGCAAGGATAAGAAACCATGGCATCTTCGGAGGCGGACATGCTTGAGCAGGGAGCTGGAGAAGCACTGTCACAAAAAGCAAGTGGAAAACGTAAAGAATATGGGTACAAATGGAATCAAACACTAAATTATTCATCGAACACTGCTCATGTTGGCCAACATTCCCCACCTTCTCTTGCTTTCGTGCTCTTGTTTGATCACACTTGTATTTAAAGTAATGGTTCAGACTTTGCTAGGGTTGGAACATGCATGTATAATTAACCCACTTGTCATCCTTCAGCAATTAATCCCAAACTTAGACCAACATAAATTATTAGCATCTCTCTCTAGATCTCTGATCACCAATATTCACCCTCATAGATCAAAATACGGTTGCAGGGATAATATACCTCCTAAATAAGCCACTGCCAGCCCCCCTAATTACGCCCCTGCCTCTTTTTTTATTTTTTTTACCTGGTCTTTTCTCTAATAAATATTTATCTTTTTTTGAGGGGGAAAAAAAGCATCTATGGAAGAATTCTCCGAATTTTTATAGGAAACCTAATTCCCATGAGCTTGAATTTTGATGGACAAGAAGGCGACTACTTGCACAAAAACAATAGCAATAGCTTTTAAATATTTTTGCCATTTAGTTTTCAAATAAGAGCTTGTTTGTAAACATGGCTCTCCGTGTGACTTCAAAAGTTTTATTTTATTTTTTATTGTTATAATATGTTGATATTAAAAAGTAAATTTTAAAAAATATTATTTCCATACATTTTTACATAAAAAATATTTAAAAATAATTGTTATTATAACACCAAAGACAATCCAAAGAAGAAAGAAGAAAACTTCAATCACAGGAAGTATGATAATGCTGCCTTCGTATCATCAGGTGTGCAAGGGCTTCCAAACGTCCAAACCAATATACTACACCTTTGCAAATTAAAATTAGAAAGCTATCCTTACTGAAGTCCTTGAATGAGTTTGAATTTAACCAAGCGTTAGAAAAATCAAACCAGATTATTCAACCGTGTAAATAAATCGGAACGGTTTAATTGTCCTCGTCTGCCAACAAGCAAACAAGTGTTTTCTTGGACGAGATTTTCGGGTCTTATACGCGACCAGATACGTGTTGAGTTGGAGTATTGGACTCTATGCCATCAGAACCATTATGTGTATTGCCTACGATTATGTCGTCACAACTAGTTGTTAATTATTAAGATAAGGGAGAAAAAATCAAGTTCTGATCTGCTTAATCTGCGTTTCACTTAATCATTGTGTCCACATTCATGAGCCTTCATAAACCAGGCGACAAAAATAAAGGCATGATGTGAGTTCTGGCACACCATCACATGTCACCATACAATGCACAACAAAGCGCCGTACAGGGCATCCAATGTTTACATTTAAAATAAACACTTTTATTAATTATTATATTAACAATATTTATTATAACAAAAATAATAATATTTTTAATACAAATAATAATATTAAACTTGAATTACTCAAGTTCAAGTTTAAGTGAGTCTAATTGTAACATCAAGTCTAAAAATCTTAGATTTAACTGTAACAGTAAACCCAAAAGCTTTAAATGTGAATCTGGTTACAAGATCGTATCATGAAAGTGTGACAACTAAATAAAAAAATTAATATTAAAAACTAAAATTAAACAAAAAAAATTTATTGAAAGGAAAAAATAAAGTAAAACACTATTCTAATTAATATTGCTTTGTGAGAAGGGGTACAATAAAATCCCCTCATAAAATTACGATGATCTAATGAAAAACAAACAAAACAAATCATAAGATTTATTTTCTAATAAAATCGATACTAAAATATAAAATTAGAAAAAAAACTAATTAAGAAAAAGAAAAAAATTGAATCAAATGTGTCAACCGGCCAAGTTAGGTTAATCCGGCAAACTTGAAATCTGTATCATAAGACTGTGATATTAGATGAAAAAAATATATAATATTAACAAACTATATAAAAAATATTAATTAAAAAAATAAAAAAACCCTAAAAAAATAAAAAAACATTTACCTCTCACTATAGATTTGCATAGTACAATTCATAATAAAAGGTCGACCTTTTTTTTATTATAGTTATAATATTGAAAGAAAAAATTGAAAGAAAAAACTAATTGAAAAAAAAAAAAATAGAATTAACCGGGTTAACTCGTCAAAGCAGGTTAACCCGTTAAACTAATGATTCGTGTCATGAGAGTGTGATGATTAAATAAAATAAAATATTAATAAACTAAATTAAAAAAAAAAGATCAATTAAAAAAAACAAAGGAATGAAAACCTATATGAAGAAAAAAATAATGAAAAAAAAGAAAACAATCTAAATTAACTAGATTAACCCATCAAGCAAAGTTACTATATCAAATTTGATATTCGTGTCATGAAAATTTAATAACTAAATATAAAAAAAATTAATATTAACAAACTAGATTAAAAGGAAAAAATAATTGAATAGTAAAAAAACAAAAACAAAAACAAAAAATAATAAAAATAAAAATATTAATGTTTTCACTATGGATTGCACTATCAATGAAAAATTGATGTCATTTAATTATAGTTAATACAATGAATTATACTACTTTGTTTTATTTGTTAGAATTTAATTTTGGAAATCAACTTAGTACATATTTGTATGTAAATTATTTTTTAAGATATTTTTTATTTAAATATATATGAAAATAATATTAAATTATTTATCTAACAATCAAATTCAAATCATCTAGTTCTACCCGTGAAAACTAATCCAAAGAATCATAAATTTTTAAAAAATCAATTATTGAGGTGCTCATGTTAATTATACACAAGGGTGCTTAATTTATTAATTTATCACATCATGCACAACTACAATATTTTCTTATAATTTAAAAGAAAATGCTATGTGAATTCAGTTATAATTTTACAGTTTTTACGTCCCAGTAACTAAGATGTGTAATCATGAGAAACAAAGTTCAAGCTTCAGGAGAGACGTGATGATGATTTAAAGATTTGGGAAGGACAATCCTGTTGCCTAGTCTCTCGCCTATTAAGCTCCTAATTACCGCAAACAGGCGTCTAATGGTAAAGATCTTATTAAAAAGCAGTCTTGGATTCCCTCTATCTTTGGATTATCGAACATGGTGAAATGCTCGTATAACATGTTTGGTGTGTTTGATATTATATTTTAAAATTTTATTTTTTATTTTTAATTAATATTTTAATATATTAATATAAAAAATAATAAAAAACATTATTTTAATAAATTTTTAAAATAAAAAATATTTTAAAAAGTAACCGTATCATCTTTACATACCATGTTTAAAATATAATAGATTTAATTTGTTTTTTAGAGTTGATTAATTTTTTAAGTTTTTTTTTTTAAATATATTAAAATAATATATTTTTTATTTTTTAAAAATTCATTTATGATATAAGTATATCAAATTAATAAAAAATTAATTTAAACCTAAAAAAATTTAAAAAATCTTAAAAGCATGGAGGTAGAAAAGTTTTTTGATATTGTAATAATAATTATTTTTTTAAAAAAATTATTAAAAAATTAAAATAATATAAAATTTATTTTTTAAAATTCATTTCCTATAACAATTCATTAAAATATTTAAAAAATAATTTTTTTTTCTCAAAATTATGTTTGGACCGCAGAAACAAACTGCGGTCAATTCCTTTTGTATGCCCCACCATTACAAAAAGAAAGTAAAAAATTGAAGCCTATGGAGCCTGGCCGGGGGGAAGAGAGTTAAAATCTTGCAGGATACGTGGACCCACTTCTTGTTCTGTCCACTACTTTGATGTGATCATGATTGATCTGTTTATGAATCCCAAAAATAAAAATAAAAATAAAAATAATTCGATAATGGTGTCCCAAAATGCTTGATACGGGTGTGCACGTTTATGATACAACGGGCCTACTCTCTCCGTGTAGTTTGAAACTATTAGCTGTTACACATCGTGTCCGACCGTGCTCCCGGCAAAATAAGCCGTCTGATTTTTAATAATTATAAAATGACAAGAAATGTGCTGTTTCCACTCCATTTCTCTAACAAATGCATGCGTGTGGACGCGCGCAAAACACCTCCGAACCATGCGGAGTAAAGTTCCAGCTAGTCAAAAAAGCATATCAAGAGGAGGTTTATTATTTTTTTTCCAGTTTTTCAAGTTTAAGTCTTAAGTTCGGTATCCAAGAAAAAATTATTGAATTTTACTGAATATATTTTATTGATATCAGAGATATATACTCTTGAAATTTTATGCGAAGAAATTTAACCTCGCTTAACATTTTTTAAATAATATTATGATATATTTTTAAATAATAAAATTTTTAAAAAACAACTATTACTACACCATCAAATACCCTCTTAGTAAGTGAAATGAAGCTCAAATACCTTTTTTCAGATTAATCATGGCTCGCTAATTGGAAAAAAAAGGCATTATTGTTCCTGTAACTTTTATACAAATCTTCGATAATTTTATACTACTGAACAATTATCTTTTTGTCTTGACTGATATAATTTTTCTTCAGAATTCAACTACATTTTCAACAGACTCTAGATTATATGCGTTCAAGTTTGCTAGCTAAAAACAGAGATGGTAACCCCCCTTGGTAGATTGATGCCAGCATTTAGATTCGGATGCTTAACTTCTCCATGCTCCTATACACGTTGCAACAAAATATTTTTCTGGAACGTAAATTCCAAAGGATTCAGCCTAGACGAACCAAAGCTGGTTGGAATATTTTTTCTGTTAAAAAGAATAAGAGATATTAATGAACTTTAAAAGGGTGTAATTTAATTAATCAAATTTTAAATTTAATTTTTAAAGCAGTTTGAGTACTATAAATTTTAGAATTATTGAAAGTCTACCTGATGATGATTAATTTTAGAATCTCAGAGAATTAATATATATATAGTTTGATGAATTCCCATATATTTTTGCCGAGAACTAGGACAGAAAATTTGCTTGTGATAAACGATAAAGGCGCACCGATGGATGACGCGTTCAATTGCATCTTACGGGTTGTTTGGACTTTGGAGACCCGCTGCCCCTCCAAACGATGCTGACCAAATCTTAAATTCAACATCGTACCAGCAAACATCGTTCAAAACAAAACACTCCTGCCCTGCTTCTCCACCTTCATCAAAATCTTCTTCATCCTCTCCTCCAAGGCTTCTGCTTTCGTGTGCTTTGTGTCTGTAAATATATTAAAATAATATTTAAAATATATTTTTGATATTAATAAATTAAAACAATTAAAAAGACAAAATTAATTTAAAATTTACTAAAAATCCGTGCTAACGCAACCACAGCATGCCTATGAGAAAAAAAAAATCATTTCAAAAGGCTAAAGGGCTAAAAACTAGAAATAGCACAATTTTCAACACTAGTGCCGTGATTTTGACCAAGTCACGAACGGGAAAAGGCTATGATCCACAGAATTAAAATTAGAACAAGAATAAAGGTTAAAATAAGAAAATCGCAGTACCACATCTTTATTGCACGATTAAAATACCAAATTACAGGGAAATGCAGTGTAAACCAAATAGGTCTCCCCATCTAGGCCGACTCCTACTATTTTCACACACACAGCTTCAACAATCAAAACCAAACCAATACAAACCAAACAAGACCTAAGAGACTCACATCTCTCTTGACACGCAAGACACACACGTGTGCACCCTATTTATTCCAAACTACATGTATATTACAATACTCCCGGATGCACCTGAACAGAGTCCGCTCAAATAGCCAGAACCAAACCCGGCACGGACTTACCGACCCGATTGGATAGGGTGCTCTCCCAGATGGATGGGCAATGCAACAGAGATATCTCGCCCGTTGATGATGAATTTGTCTTAAAATCTGACGGTTGTGATTGATTTCCAAGACGAGTAACAGTAAGAGAAGTATTGAAGTACTCTCTAACCTGGGTAATTATCCCATCGGTAACAGTCCAAGCGTGCACCCAGGAAATGGAACGGCTTGTATTACACCCTTCAACAACCACAAGGTTCCCAAAAGAGGTGATGGAGATAGGGGAGAATTCAAACGGCACGTCGTTGTCTTTTTTTTCACCAGTAAGAAGGCGCATCATAAACTGGTGAGACGGCGGGCCATGGAACCACCACTCAAGATCGTTGGCTAGGATCTTGTGTACCGTGTCCACGTCACGTGACTTTAAGGCTTCATAGAAAGCAAGAACCACGTCTTGGTTCTTTTTTGTCGATGTTGGTAGCTTTGGTGCAGTGATTTCTGCCAGAACTTCTTGTGAGTTAGCCAGTTCTTGGGAAAGTGCTGAATGCAGCTGATAGAGGAGGAGGACGGGGGTAGTTTTGCTTAGAAGAAACAGCTACCAGAGAGAAAAGATAACCGATTGAGCTTGCCAGGGAGGCCGCGGGGCCTTATATACAGAGACGGATATGGATTAGATCCTGACTCTGTGCTTTTACGTGTTGTGGGTTTGTAAGGGTATTTCTGTCCTTCTGATTGCTTTGTGAGGGTGGTTTGGTGATTTCAAGTTAAGAGAGGGAATATATGGTAAACTACGTCTCAATCCTTATTTATTTAGATATATTACATTTTGATCTTTATTGTCTTACTATTATCAATATCAACCACACGTAATTCAGAAGCAATCCAGTACTTGAACATTAAGAAAATCTGGATTGGACGAAATTGTCATTTCAACTAGCTTCAAAAAACACTAACAGGTTATTGATACAAAAGCTCACTGTATCATAAATGCATCCACGATCTATCTAAATGCTCTATTGATGTTCGAATATTCGGGATACATATTTTGTTTTATTAAAAAATGGCGAGGTTCATATTTTATATATTTTTTTTACTAAATAATATGAATTCTCACTGTATGTTTTGCAAAATAGTTCGATATAACAAATTTAATCCTTCAAATAAAAATTAAAAATTGTCAATTTAATAGAAGAATAAAAGATAGAGGAGCATATTGTAGATAGATCAGGGAGCATATTGTAGTTTTTGGAGGCTTCAAGATTGATACTGAAAGCATTACTACTACAGAAGCCGAAGTGAAATACTCCTGAATTTGTAGGGGCTAAAATATAATCTTGCAACATCACTTCAACAGATTACGTGGCGTGAAATGATTGGTAAATGATTATGGTAAATCGGGCCTAATGTGTTTTCCTGGACCCGCCAAGGACAGGTAAGCGACGAAGCGGCGAAGACAAGTTAGTCAAGCCAACTTTTTTGACCTCTGATTGGGTTTTAATTAATTTGTGAGGGATTGCATTAACTGCGTTTGGCAGACAGATTGGTGCAAATTTTGAAATATTAATTGGGTGAGGGGGATTGCATTAACTGCGTTTGGCAGACAGGTGCACATTTTGAAATATTAATTGGGTGAGAGAAAAACACTTAAACTCAGAATTAATACAAATCTAGTAAATTATATACTAATTTCTCCAAAAAAAATTTATATATTACCTACCAATCGGCTTTGCTTTGGTAGTATCGAGTCCCAACCCTTTATTTTTTCAAGATATCTCATTCCGAAAAAAAATAATTTATTTTCATAACCCTTTATTTTTTCAAGATATCTCATTCCAAAAAAAAAAAAAATTATTTTCGTATCAGCTTTTATGATAATTCTTTATTTGACTATTGACTGCTGACTATATATTTCTATCTGTGACCAGAAAATAAAAGATAAACTATATAGTAATTTGTTTAAAATTATTTAAAGATAAGGTATTGAATTTAGAATTCCAAGAATGTAGAATTACAAGCATTAACGATGTGATATCATTGATTTTTCTCATGGAAGACCTTTGGTAAAGATTGAAATGTCAAGAACAGTAGCAAATGACTTTGGGAAAAAGGCAGACATTAGCATAAAAAGATATACAATCAATAGATTAAGTAACAAGTTGTGTTCCAACTCTATAGGTTAAAATTATCAGTAAATGGTTTTTTTTTTTTACAGAATTTCCTTGAAGGTCTCGGGTTTTAGACAGTCTTGTGGAAAATAATTTTATATAAATATATCAATTTTGTTATATTTGAAATCTGATTGAAAAGAGAAACAATCTTGATGAAAACCGATCTTAAAAACATGCCCCTGTGGACGGAAAGATTCCCAGCTTCACCGGCCTTATTAAATTCAAACAAAATAAAATAAAAATTAATGCACCCGCTTGAAAACAAGGTCTTTAGTTTTACTTTTCAACCTTCATATGCTTATCTTATTGGGTCCACAATGGCCGCTGATTATCAATGCGAGGATGACTTCTTGGGAGGTTGCAACCTTTTTTTTTTAATATTCGAAACTATTGCTGAAAATATTTTTTAAAGTATTTTTTATTTAAAATATATTAAAATAATATATTTTTATTTTTTTAAAAAAATTAATTTCATTATCAATATGTCAAAATAATTTAAAAATATTAAAAAATTAATTTACTTAATAAAATTAAAATTTAATAAAAAAACGCCGGTCTTAAATGAGCTTTTGACCTGCTAGGTTTTTAGTGGTCTGTAAGAAATTGATTTAACAAGGACACTGAGAAATGGTTACGATTATTTTCATTTGATTAATTAATGGAATTCCTAATCATATGGCAATATCCTGGATAAAGAAAAGAAGAAGAAGAAGAATTCCTACGGCAATTGTAATTTCTGAAGAATTATCATAACTATTAATTAAGCATCCTCGCACAATATGGGCCATTCAAAAGACCATAAACTATGGATTGATATTTATTTTCTTATTTAATGATTTGATTTAATCAACTGTTCTGCCCATAACGGGAGACGTGAAGAGCCTTGTCAACTGCTGTGTATAGGCATTGCACTAACACATGAAACTTTGAATTGCCCGTCACTGAAGGCTAAGCAGAGGGAATTCCAAAGCTTATACAGTATGGAGGAAGACTTTGATTGATCAAAAAGAAGAAATCACAATCGGAAAGGGTGGGCCATTGGCTAGAGCTGCAGGTCAGAAACTTTCCCCAGAACGAAGAGAAATTACAAGGAAAAATGCTTTGGAGAATATGTCCATCCATCGCTATTCACTGCCAGTTTCAAGTGCAAACGACCTCTTATCCGAAAAGAAACATGGGTCCTTGGCTAGTAAATTCAAGGCAATAATGGCTTCTGTCCTCCACAGCAGAGATTACAAAATGGGATGTTCTTAGCAAACAAATTCTGATGCTAGACAGGAGACAGCATGTACAACTGCCACCGATAACACTAATGGCTTTAGGTCTGAAACAGGATTAGTTTAGGAAATGTCCAAGAGGGAGCTCATGTTCAAAGAGGTCTTGCAAGCTAACCATGCTGATGGGTGCTCGGAGAACAGGCAATTTGGCACAAACGAACTGGTTTCACTTTTTTATTGGATTCACTGGGAAAATTGCGCTGGTTTTTCACACCTAGATATTATCCAAGAATAGATTTATTCGAGGGTAGTCCTGGACGTTTAGCCTGATTGGTAATGTTTGTTCGACTGTCAAGGGCTCAGATCCTAGGTAGCCATGGAAACCAAAAAAGCTTACATCGACCAGTAAACGTGCATCTAGCAGGAATTTAAGAGGAAAGGAACAGTAGAAGAAAAGGATAGAGACAGCACGAGGGCAGATGGAAGTGCATGAAGACGTCATAATGCATGGTCTCCACTTTTTTTTTAATTAATTGAATATTTATATTAATTTATATATATCTTAATTAATTTTATATATATTAAATTTAATAATTATATAAATTTTTAATAACTTTAAAATTTATAAAACTTTAATTAATTTTTTAAAAATAAATTTAAATTTTTTTGAGTTAAATTATATTTTTCAAAACTATTACCGTCATTTATAGTTTTTGAATATGTTTGGAAATGTAGTTATAATTTTTTTTAAAGTATTTTTTATATTAATAATATTTTTTTATTTTTTAAAAATTATTTTTGAAATTAATATATTAAAATAATTTAAAAATATTAAAAAAATATTATTTTAAAATAAAAAATAAAAACATTTCAAAAATTTCAAAAATATTAAAAAAAAAGACTCCCAAACGCTAACTTCACCTTCTTCCTACAAGAGGTTCGGACCATAGCTAGAAGAGGAGACTATTATTAGAGAAAATACAGGTAGGTGTGACTCTATCAAGGCCCCCGGCCGGCCTCCCACGGAGGTACGTTTATGCTAGGTGGCATTTGGACATTCAACTTCCTTTCCACTTGAAGATTTTGCTCACCCCATTTTTACCTACCTATTGATTACCCATAGGCTAGCAGCTAGTTGCTACCCCTCCCACTCTATCACTACCCTCTTGCTTTCGGAATTTCAACTCCCAGTGCTCTTCCTGTAGCCATTTATTTCTCAATAAATTTCAACGGCTTGATGGTATTTTTATTACATGGACTTTTAAATTGTTTCTATTTTTATATTTGTTATTCAATTGCATAAATTTTTAAATTTTTACTGATTTAAGTGTTGCTGTTAAGTTCCGTCTATTTATGCTAACATGATCGTTAGATTGGATTGACACGTAGCATAACGACATGTTTATCAAGAGTGCATAATCTTTGTATTTTCTTTCGAATTAAATACTCAAGTGTCCATCTTCTTCTATTTTTCTCTGTTTGATTGTTTATACAATCATTAAGAACCTTATTTTTTTTATATGAAAAAGGTTATTTAAATTATACTTGAAATAATATAAAATCATTATAATTTTTACAAGACTAGGAAAAATATAAGCATGGAAGATGATTCTAGTAAAAATAAAAAAATAAACGTTAACAATTATAATTATAATAATATTTCCCTTTTGGATGACTTTTCGTCCTGTCCATTTTACACCCTTTTAAATAGATTTTTAAAAGTAAGAAAAATCACATTGCCTGCTTAATTTTATTTTATTTTTAAAAATTAATTTAAAATAAAAAAATAAAAAATTATTTTTTAAAAAATATATTTAAAACATCAAAACAAACCGTTACAAAACCAACGCAACAAAAATAAAAAAAAAGAGTGTTGTTTGGTTAAAAGAATGTTTTTCAAATTGAGGTTATAAAATAATTAAAAAAATATTTATTAATATTAATAATTTTTAATTTAAATATTGTAGACTTAACTATTGTTATTATATAATGAAATAAATAATATTGATATTAAATATTTTTTATTGTTTCATTAAATTATGTACAATTTCATAATGTACAAAATCTATTCAATAAAATCTATTCAATAAAGACTATATTTTTCATGGTCTTTTAAACGTGTAACAACATTAGGTAAGATATCACCACAAATAAAATTGAGTTTGTGATCAAATTCTGTAAATGCTACGTCATTAAGAGATATCCTTCTAATTTTTTTAATAAAACACAATTAAAAATAAAAATAAAAATTAAATTTTTTTAACTAGGTTAGACCCCGCAAGAATAAAATTGGGATTGCGATCGAATTCTGCAAATACTATGTCATCAAACAATCTTCTTCTAATTTTTCAAATAAAATGTAATTAAAAATTAAAATTAAAATTTTTAACCAAGTCGGACCCGACAAGAATAAAATTGGGATTGCGATCAAATTCTGTAAACATTATATCATCAAGCGATCTCCTTCTAATTTTTCAAATAAAATGTAATTAAAAATTAAAATTAAAATTTTTACCCAAGTCGGACCCGACAAGAATAAAATT